TTTGTTGTATCAATGTCAGAATTTAATTGTTGTTAGAATGAAGTTTTTAGATTTATTATATTTCTAGACATGACCGGTTTAATTATGTTATGTTAAAACTGTGTGCTAATAAAGAGTTTTGCTTGACATTATTGTCTTAAGAAGAGAACCTGGCCGTCCGGGGAAAACGGGTAGTTTTGTTTGTGGACGGAACAATTCTATTGATGCTTTCAGGATCTTCCACAGATATAATAAATATTTTGATAGGGAATCGAATGCTCTATAAAAAAGGTATCCTATATTTTTTCGTAAACCAAGACATTAAAAAGATATCTTGGGACAAAATTTTATAGATTTTGAAAAAAATATTTATTTTCAAAATGTTATCACTACCAGAATAGTTAGGATTTTAATAAAATAAGCAGTTTAAATTTTTTGGAAATTAACTTTGAAAAAAGGTTTCTTTAGTTTTTTTGATAAATGTAAGCGTTTTAAATATAATCGCAACTAAAGTTCAACTTTACCTTTTTTAATAACTAGGTATCGTAAAAAATATTAAGTTACCTTCTATTTTTTAAATATTTTTATAAATTTGTGTTCTTTCTTATTAATTAAAATAGGCTTTAAACTATTTCTCATTTTGTTCTGAAATTTTATTTTAAAATATTAATTTTTTTAAAAGTATTCCGGTATCCAAGCCTTTTGGATTATTATTCCGCGGGCGCGATTATCTTTGAAACGCTTACATTTATCAAAAAAAAAAACATAATAATTACTTATCATTGTTTAATTTAATTTAATATATATACTTTCGACCGAGGTTAACTTACGTCCCTGCTATTATATATACGTATACGCAGAGAAAAGTTATCTCTTGATTTTACTATATTTGGCTTGGCTCAAATAAATTATTTATTTAGATATCTACAAGAAGATATTTATTTAGTGGAAAACTTGGGTTTATTTGACTTTTTAAACTGATATTTGGTTAATACAAGTAAATATCTAGTTGACTTTTTATCTCAGGTTTAGTAGAAGCTTACTTAAAGAAACAAAACCTTACTTAAAATGGGATGCTTACTTAAAGAAACAAAATATTTACTTATATGAAGAAAAAAATTTGTTTCAGACAAATAATTAGTACCTTTTAATATTATAATTTCACGAGATATATAGTGATTGAACCAAACAAATGTTTGCTTTTTTTAATACTCAGATTTATTTATTTTGATGGTATTTATTTGATACTTGGGAGGGAAAATTAAATTAAAAAAAGTTCGTTCAAATATGTTTTATTTGAACAAAACAAGGGTATACAATATATTATAATAAAGATTATTATAAAACATTTACAAAAAACACAATATAAAATTAACATTAAACAAAACATATAATATATTATGTTTATGTATTATAAAACAAAAATAGGAAAAAAAAATACTTTTGTGTAAATATTAACGCACGGCATTAATAAAATACACTAAGTGTAGTACACTAAGTGCAATGTAATGTAATGTAATAAACTTTAGGTATTATAAAACATTATCTATAAAAACACAATATAAAATTAACCTTAAAAAACATACACTCACATATGTTTTATAAACCAAAAATATAACTGTATATAACTTTGTAGTTTGCAAAATACCCAATTACACGAAATTTTAATTAAATCACTTTTACTTACCAACAAAAATGAATTAAATTATTTCCTTTCAAGAATTCTTCCATAATATAAGACATTAGCACTTAAATGTAAACAAAACTATAACCGTTGATTGATAGACCACGTTCTGCGAGTTTGTCCCATAGAAAAAGGATATAGGTTTGTCTTGTGATGCGAGTGCAGGCCGGCAAGGCTTGCCGGCAGCCGGACAAGCGTCTTTGTCTTTGAAGGAAAATGCTCTTATTGGCTCCGCGATTCACGTGGACATAAAAGCAAATAAATATGTATTGGCTTTAAGTAAATGTACTTTTGAAACAAACAAATCATGTATTTTCGTTAATTATACGATATACATTGTATCAATTCTATTATTTTGATATTATATGCTCCACACAACCTACATCCAAACAATTTAATTAATTACTCTTAATAAATATTTCTTTAGAATTAATCACAACAATAAGTTGTTTTCAAGAAACTTATGATTTACAACCAAACAATAGTATTTTCTTATTGTAAACAACAAGTTACTACGAATAAGAAAATTTTACTTCATACAAGAAAACCTGTTTCAAATAAATGCATTTTCTTAAATCAAGAGATTACTTTTCGGCCCTTGTAGGGTAATATACTATTTCATCTAAGCTAGTAGAAAGAAAATATTTGGAAAAAGTTCAGAGTGTTTTCTTTCGTGGATTTTAGGTTAAATTTTATTAAAATCGGACATACTTTTGTTAAGAAATATATACAGGGATGGTAATGAGCTTTTAGGCCGTTTAATAAACAAAGATGCATGCTATATGAAATGTACGAATAAGTGAGATAAACGTATCAATAAGAGAGACAAACAACCATTGTTGAACGAATAGAATAACAAAATACTTATTTCCCCTCTGCCATAAGCGTGCAGTACAAGAATTCAAAACGATTAAATCAAAACAATTAAACGTCCGCCAATGTTTTACTTCCCCTCCTCTAACTGCTTTACAATCCCACCAAGATACATACACCTTAAGATAGGATGGTGCGCATGTTGGGCGGGGCTTAAATATGCCACTTGATGAGTGTTTTTAAATCTTTAACGTGCTTTTTAATTATCTGCTGCTAAAATTCTTGTTTTTGCGATGCTGTTGGATGTTAACTTGCTCTATTTTTTGTTTAACTTGTTGTTTTTGCTTTCGGTAAGGTTCGAATTTATTTTCAGTGTTCAAATTATTGTTATTGCGTTGTGTTAACTTGTTTTGTTTGTGTTTTAGTTTGTGTCGTACCATTTGCATTTATTAAAATGCGGTGTGGCATATTTGGATGCAATTCAGACAACCAGTCCAAGAAAAACCCTTTAAATAAAAACATTAAATTTAATCGATTCCCGAAAAACTTTGATTTGTGGAAACAAAAAGAATAGGCAATTTAAAACACCAAACACCTAAATGTTATCAAGGACTAAAAGCATCTATTATCCATATTATAAAACTTTCTTCAATATTAAGTTTAATAAAAACGCACTATGTCCAGATATTTCTTTATTTTCTTTGATAATATTACTATTATTCGTGTATTCGCACGGCATGCGCGGCATGAACCAAAACTAGTACACGGGAGCATCCAGCCCTGGCGCGGCGCGGTCTGGCCTGCCCCACCACTATTACGCCACTCCACCACTCCCACGTCTCATAATGCATTTGTCTTTATTTATTAAACGGCCTAAGAGCACATTACCATCCCTGTATAGTGATTGAACCAAACAAATGTTTGCTTGTTTTAATACTACGATTTATTTATTTTAATGTTGTTAATTACTTGATATTTGGGCGGGAAAATTAAATTAAAAACGTTTATTCCAATATTTTTTATTTGAACAAAACAAGTGTACACTTGTAGTTCTTCGGTGTAATGGCCTGTCAATACATCCATATCGACATGCTCATCTGAAATAGTGATTCCAAACTTGTAAATAGAAATAGGTAGTGATTATAAATTTAGAAAATAGAAAATAGGAAAGGATGCATCATCATGATGGCATTTTTATTTTAAACTAAATCACTCCCTTACTCTTAGCCGCAAATGGAAGTAATCTTGAATAAAAACCTACCTAAAATATACAAAAAACATTTGCACATTTTCAAAAACTTAATTTATTATTATCAGATAGGTATCTTTGTTGAAAACACCTACCAGGTAGGTACCTATAGTTTAAAAACAAATACATACATATAGTTTGCCAACCAAAATTACTTGCACTTGTCAAATACAAAAAGAAACGGTTTATTTTTAGTTTATGGCCTGTAAGTAAAATGCAATTATATTTAAAAGCAACAAGTCAAGTCTGAGACATGCATGATCCAAAATAAAATAGGTAGGTACCCATATTATCATATAACTTTGTAGTTTGCAAACTACCTAGGTACACAAAATTTTAATTAATTAAATCACTTTTACTTACCAACAAAACTGGGAAGCAAATGGGTTAAATTATTTTCTTTGAAGAATTCTTCCATACTATTAAACATAAGCACTTAAACACAAAACTATAACCGTTGATTAAACACCTTCTTCTCTTAACGCTCTGCCAAGGACGCTCTTCGAGTTTGTTTGCAAATGCTGCCGGCTGCTAGGCAAGCGTCTTTGTCTTTGGAGGCAAATGCTCTAATTGGCTCCGAGAGTCACGACATAAAAGGACATAAAGGCAAATAAATATGTATTTTCTTCAAGTAAATGTATTTTTGAAACAAACAAATCACGTGTTTACGTTAATTATATGACATACATTGTATCAATTCTATTATTTTGTTAAAATAAGATATTATATGCTTGTATTAACATTTCATAAAACTAAATCCATACAACCTATATCCAAACAATTTAATTAATTGCTCTAAATAAATATTTCTTTACAATTAATCACAACAATAGGTTGTTTTCAAGAAACTCATGATTTACAACCAAATAATAGTATTTTCTTATTGTAAACAAGAAGTTACTACGAATAAGACAATTTTACTTCATACAAGAAAAACTGTTTCAAATAAATGCATTTTCTTAAATCAAGAGATTACTTTTTTCTGTGCAGTATATTTAATAATATTAATTGTCAAGAATTTCATTATTTATTTTTTTCTAACAAAATTGTTACCACGAGAAAAAATAATTTTTATTTATAAATTACTAGGTAACCTTTTTTTGGCAGAATCTGGTAACGCGGGAGGTAACTAATCACTACAAGAAAAGAATTTTATTTTTTAAGTTTTTTTAAATTTTTATACCCAGGTGTGGCGGTGGTATATCGTTAATCCGCTAAAATAATAATAAAAATCAGATTAATTGGACATGCTTATACATGATTATGTAAACTTACGCCCCAATTTTGCCTTCACCGCCACCGTACCCCTGGCCACCGCCCCGAAAGGTGCTGCTGCCTCCTCGGCTGCTGCCGCCACGGCCCCTGCCCACACGGCCCCTGTCGACACTTCCCCCACGGCCTCTGCCACCAATACCTCGGCCTCTTCTGCGGCGAAACCCCCTTCCTCGCCGAATCTATTATTTATACAAAAAAACTTATTACAATAGAATGGTAACATTTGAATTTATGATCTATTATGCATATGCATTGTTTTATAAAACATAAAACCCTATGTTACTTACCTCCCTAAAAAGCCGGGCCAGGGATTGTTTAGCCAATTGGCGCGGGCCCTTAATGCACCAGGTCCCCTCTTGAGTTTGGTTCATTAAGGTCCCGGCCAAACAAACTTCATTTGCTAATTGGTGGCCTAAAAATATAATAAAATAGAATTTCAAAGAATATTTTTGTTAATACCTACTTATTTGGGCTGCCTCCCCTGGCCAAAGTTTTATCGGCTCCTAATTATAAATTAATATATTAATTAATGCATTTACATTACATTTGTACAAAACATGATAATTTTTGAAAGAAAGAATTACAAGTAAACATTTCCATTTTTTTGCCAATAAAAATTAAAATAGTTTCAGTTACACTCTCATTAATAATATCTTGGGCAGCCTGTAAAAATGATTTATGTTTTTAATAATTCAATATTTTATTAACATTATTATTACCTTTCCTGGCTCAGTTTGCTCCGGTTTCTGTTAAAAAAAAAAGATGAATAATTTTCTAATATTTAATTATTTTAGTATTAATAATAAATTTTATTACCCCTTCAGTTCTGGTTGAACTTTCGCCGTTTTTCTGATATATTAATTAAATTAATAATAAAATTTAATATTTTAAAGGTATTATTATTACATTTTCGGGATTTTTGGTTTGCTCCGACTCCTGGTAAATACATTATTAAAAATTAATTACAAGTTTTATATTTAGGTATTTTATTATTAATATTATTATTACCCCATCCCCCTTCTCTTCCTGGACCAGCTGAAAAGTTAATTAGATTAATAAAGAATTTAATATTTTAGAAATATTATTATTAGATACCTTTTCGGGCTCAGTTTTCTCTGCCTCCTGGTAAAAAATATTAAGATTAATGACAGATTCAGTTTTTATTATTTCAGTATTATTACCTCGTCGGCGTTGTCCGTCCGGCTCTATTGAAAAATTAATTAGATTAATATAACATTTTTAATTCTATTATTATTATTACCTGGGTCTCCTCAACTAAAAGCTAAAAATAATTTTATTAATATTTTGTATAAATTATAAATTAAGTAACTTACCTTATTTACAATATCTTCCAACTGTCGCTAAAAATAAAAAAAACGTTTAAAATACTCTTAAAAAAAAATGATCGATTTTAATTATCTAGAATCTAGATGAAAGAGAAAATATAATAGGACTCACTTTATCAAAATTTTTTTCATCTGCTTTAAACTTAAAAAAAAAGAAAAAAAATCAATTTTAGTAGGTACCTATACCAAATATTTTTTTACACACGTTAACTTAATTAATAAGTACCTATAGTGTGTTAATATATTTCTTTCAATATATTTTATATTATTAAGTACTTACTTCCTTAATGTCCTTGTTTAATTGTTCCTAAAATAAGTAAAGCGTTATTAAATATAATAAATAAAAATAATTAAGTATATTAAATATTACAACACTTACTATTAATTTTTTCAAAGAATCTTTCTAAAAACAATAAATTAATCAAAATATACATGGAAATTTTGTATATAAATAAATAATGCACGGTTCTAAGAGGTCATTTTCCACCTTTTTCTTTAAAATAAATAAAAGAAATCATGTATTTTCTTCCTAAGGTCTTTTTTACTTTGCTCGATTATTACTTACAGTAATTCATATAAGGGATTTTTGCTTTAAAACGCAATAATTTTATAAAATCGTTAATAATTAATTAACAATTCTAATTTTTTGAGGAAATGAAAGGAAAATATGGTACTTTTAAACAAAAAAAAGAATTCATTTATGTCCATAGTAAGGTCTTTTACTTCATTCAATTATTACTATTATTGTATTTTTATTGAAAATGGCATAAAAAAACAAAATATCAGTGATAATTTGCATTTAATGCATAATTGTTTAAAAGTACCATATTTTCCCTTCATTTCCTCAAAAAATTAGAAATGTTCATTAATTTAAGTTTATTATTTTTTAAAAACAAATGAGGGGGCGGCACGATTAAAATTTCGATATCGGCCAAATAAGAACCACCCTACTATAGTATATATGTATATAAATGCTGTGATAAATAATGTAGGTATATTATTTCTTAAAAGTGTTTTAAAACAAAAATGAATATTGATAATTTAACTTATTTTTGTTGTTTTTTTTACGAAAATATGTATGTATTTTTGCTGATTTTTTTAATTCAAACATAAACCTACAAATTATATATATATATATATATATATATATATATATATATATATATATATATATATATTTGAGATTATAATAAAAAAACTCTATCTAAATGTTCAAAAATATACAGGGTGTTTCATTGGAAAAATCATGTTATATCTAAAGGGTGAATTATAAATTAGCAATAAGGACAAGAAAAAATGATTCTATTTCAACGAATTTAACTTTATTTAATACAATAATCCTTCCGATTTAAAGATGTTATGGATTAGCTTTTCTTGTACCTAGTTTGACATATACCAGTTCCCAACGCGAACCTATTCCAGATACCTATTCCGGTTTCTGCCTATTCCGACCCAAAGGCGCGGTTGTAACATTCTCACTGGAGTTGGTTTAGCTGGGTAAACATAATCAGGTGACTCTTGCAACGCCGCAACAGGTTAAAACTAATACGAATACGAAGCAGTATTGAGTATTTACCTACATTTAGTTTCTCTATGCCGAAATCAATGCGGTAATATGTGATATTTGGATACCTACTCTTTTATTTATTGCTTTTTTCTGATAAAAAAATAAAAAGATTTCATCCATATTTCTCTTGTAGTTTATTTATTAGTCTCATCAGTAGCCATAATTTGACAATTAATTAATAATAAACGAAACGTACCGTTTCACTAAGTGAAATAACACGGCAACAGGCAACGACGCCGATCCAAGAAAATACGTACTGCAGTTCCAATCGGTTTTATTCGCTATTCACCGTCACAGGCATCGTGAATAGAAAAGGACTCGGAATAGGACAGACCGGAATAGGTTCCGATATTTGGGAATAGGTACGCGGAATAGGCAGGTGATACCTATTCCAAAGTAGCCGGTCCAGTTCCACTGTAACATCCCTATTCCGATTAAGTATGGAAAATTATTTCTTTTAAGTGGCCACCTCGGCTGGCTCGGCATTTTCGAGCACTTTTTCAACAGTTTGCTGTTATATTTGAGCAATTTGAGCTTGAATATTCTGTTTTAAGTGCTCAATTGTTTGAGGATTATCTGCATAAACTTTATCCTTTAATGCACCCCAAAGAAAGAAGTCAAGTGGTGTTAAATCGCAGCTCCGAGGTGGCCAATTAACATCCTCGAAACGGCTTATTACACGATTATTAAATTTTGTGCGCAATAGATTGATAGTGGCCTTATGGTAAGTTGCGCCGTCTTGTTTAAACCAGACCTGATCGAGATTAATATCACCCAATTCCTGCCATAAAAAGTTTGTTATCATATCTCGATAGAGGTCGCCATTGATCGTAACGGTGCGGCCAGCCTCATTTTCAAAGAAAAAGGGTTTAATCAAAGATAATAATCTTTGGGTTTAATCACTCCGCCACTCCAAAATCCACACCACACAGTGACTCGATCTGGATGCATGAGCTTTGTTACGACAACGTGGGGATTTTCCGTGCCCCAAATCCTTGACTTTTGTTTGTTAACATAACCTCCGATGTGGAAATGCGCCTCATCCAAACATTTTTTTTTCTTGCAAAATCAGGATTAGCGTTCAATTGGTTTAAAGCCTACTCAGCGGAGCGAAAACGTTGTGGATGGTCAAATTGCTTCAACTCCTGAACGAGCTGGGCTTTGTAGGCAAACATACCGAGGTCTTTGTGCATAATCCTCCTCAGAGTAGTACGGGAAAGGCCTAGTTGTTGACTTCTACGCCGAGTTGATGTTGACGCATTAAGGCGCACACTTTCGGATATAGCAGCGATTCCTTTAGGTGTACGCCTAGGATGAGCATGCAGAACATGTTTCACGTCAACTAGCATTCCAGTTTTGCGCACTCTATCGATAAAATTCGTAATTCCTTGGTTTGAACGCGCCTCATTTCTTCCAAACTTTGTAGTACGCAATTTTCGCGCCGTCTTGGCAACCACAGAGTCACACTCAAAGTAAGTTTTGAGCATTTCAAAACGTTGATCCAGACTAAAGCGATGCATATTCTGTTAGCGGAAGGATAAAACTAAACCACTGTCAACAATTAATGACAGTCAAATTGACAACTTCATTAATAACACGAAGTTTAAAATTCAACATATAGATGGCCCTCCCTTTACATATGTATTTCATCAATTTTACCGATGTTTTTTTGTTTTTTAATTTTTGTCAAAAATTTTTCATAAAATTATTTTTTCAAACCATGCAAGCTAGATTTTTTAATTTTTTAATTTATTTTCAAATAAAGATTTTAAAGAAGTGTCCCATTTATACGAAAACACCCTGTACATAAATATATTTTTAATGTCAATTAAAATATCAAATACCCATTAAATACATCAATTTTACCAATGCTTTTTTGTTTTTTAATTTTTGTCAAAAAATTTTCATAAAATCACTTTTTTAAACCATGCAGCTGAATTTTTTAATTTTTTAATATAATATTTTTAATTTAATATATGTAATATAATATAATAATATTTTCAAATAAAGATTTTAGAGGAGTGTCCCATTTATACGAAAACACACTGTACATACATAGATTTATTTTTAATGGCAATTAAAATATCAAAAAATATCAATATTAAAAATATCAAATACCAATTAAATACATCAATTTTATCAATGGTTTTTTGTGTTTTAATTTTTATCAAAAAAATAATTTTTAAACCATGCAAGCTGGATTTTTAAATTTCTCTTTAAATAAAGTTTAACACCCTGGACATACATAATATTATATTTATACATACCACAATTAAAATATCAAATAGGGTACTACTTACATACATATATGTATGTATACATACATATGTACATTTTTAATTAAAAATAAATAAATTTCACACGTTTCAGAGGCATATTTTTTTAAAATAGAATTTTACTTTTAAATAATAATTAATAATTATTATTATTAATTATTATAAATAATAATTAGATAAAGTGGGTAGATAGTTAATTAATAATTATTATTAGTAATAATAATTATATAATGAAATAGAATAGAAATTACCTCTCAGAACAGCACTAGGAATTGTAAATAAATAAATAAATTCTTTTGGTTACCTACTTACTTTACTCAATGATGAAATAATAAACTCCACTAAATCCAGACACAAATAATATTATGACTGCAAATAAAAAATTGTGTTGTCGTCTCGTTGCTAAGCGACGAGTTTAGTGAAAGGAGATCGCGTGGGAGATCGGAATTTCAAACAAATACCCCTTATTTTATCATATTTTCAAGCTTGGAACATTGGTGGGTAGATGGCGACACCTTACGGACACATTTTCTTGTAAATTAATAATAATACGCCTGGCACAGATCGTCCTATAACCTTGCGTCTCTTCTCACACCTTACTCAATGCCCATAGCATTATATATCATTGAAATCAGAAAAAAAATATCTTTTTAATGAAGTCAACTACAGTTTTAGTGATTTTTTACACTTTTCAAAGCTTTCAAACATACGAATTTTTGAATAAAAAAAAATAATCCTGGTATAGATTCTTTGGGAAATTTTATGCTCTACAAGAATCCGCGACGTAAAAAATTTGATCTCAAACGGTTCAAAAGTTATAGTCTTTTTAATGAAAAAAGATTTTTTTTACGTGTTATTTCAATGGAAAACTTAGAATGCTCACCGACACCTGTATTAATATTAAATTACATATGGACGTAATTTTAATTAATTAATTTTAAAGCCGGAGTTATTTTTTCGTTTCGGATTTTTTTTTAAATCAAATATTTTGCTTCATTGGAACCTTGCAATCAATTATTATCGTTTTTAAAATCATGCTTTAATTTCGTCAGATATGGTATGGTTCCATATGGAACCGCTAGGCCTTTTTCGTGTCTTTTGAGATTACCAGCGTTTTCAGCGATTGTGTTAAATTCAAAGTTTCTAAAGTAAATATTTTTAACATTAAATTGTCGTTCTACAACATATTATAAACTAAATTAAAATTTAGTTTGCTTGGGGGATATTTTTTTAATTGTAGGTTAGTAAAACCAGCAATTTTTTTTATAAAAAAAACATTTTATTTTGTATAATTAAATATTATTATCAAATCACCTATTAAAAACTCATGTACATGTTACTTTTTAGTGTGGAAAGCAATATTGCAGCTTAAACATAGTCCTACGTTACATTTGGCACATTCTGACCGTGCTCGACTAAGGCAAGTCTCCAGGGCGCATCTTCTCTTACTTCCATTTTCAGTTGGTTTGAGAAAATGATTGTTATTATCAAATCTAACAAAATCGGGAACACCAACGCCCGTAATTAGAGATGTGTCGGTCAGATCTGAACCGGCTCAGTGAACCGGGTCTTATAAGGGCCGGTTGTACAAATAACATATGAACTGAAGATCAACTGAACGTCAGTTCAGTATGAACTGAAGTTCAAGTGTTAATGTGTTGTACAATAGAAATTCAGTTGCAGTTCTATTGAACGAAAAATTTGTTGGGTTGGCTAGCCTGAACCAGAGATATCTCTGCCTGAACTCTGTCATTTCTTAATTTTGACGTACACTTTTCGCGCCTATTTTAGAATTTAGCTTTGCTTGGCTTAGCTGTGTTTCGAAATATCATCCAAGAAGAAGGGGAAGGCACAAAAATGGAGGAAAAATACCACTTCCTAGTGGGCGCAGGGGAGATGGAGCAGACAGACAGCCTATTAAAAGCAGCCAGGAAACTAGCCCAAGCGCTGTCGGACACAGATAGGAAAAGGGTCAACCTCGTAAGCGGCAGCGTGGACACGCTAAAAGTCCGAAAAATACTTGAATGTCTTCTGCATAGCAAGGACACGCACGTGAACATTTGCGTCGCGAAACCAAAAGAAAAGCCCACAGAAGAATTCAGAGCCCAGGTGAAAAAACCTTCCAAAAACATCATTATCAAGGTAAACCCGGATACGAGCATACAGTATAATGAGGTCCTCAAGAGGATGAGACAGAAGGTAGACATTAAACAATTCAACCTGGACGTCAGAAACATTAGCAGAAACAACAGCGGGGTCATCAACATCGCCATCAGCGAGAAATCGGAGGGGGCCTGCGAACAGCTCCGCGCCAAGATAGGGGAAGAGCTTAAGGACATAGCATAGGCGGAAGAAAGGCAACCCCTTGCCAACATAATCCTAAAGAACCTACCTCCGGGAATAACGGAAGAGGAAATTGATCCGTACAGCTACGCACTCAAACAGCACGCTCATTAAAGCCAGGCCGCCTTTCGAAACAAGAAGCGGTAACATGTTCTCGACGGTAACCATACCCAGAGGACTGGCAGCAACAATCCTCGCAATGAGGAAGATAAACATAGGCTGGTCCAGGTGCACTGTGGAAGAAAACATCTCCATCCCCAGATGTTTCAAATGCCAAAAAATGGGTCACCTGGCGAGAGGCTGCAAAGAAAAGGGGACAAACAACAAGAAAACCTGCCTCAAGTGCACGCGGGAGGGACATGTTGTCAAAGACTGCCCAAACGAGGAGAGATGCCTGACCTGCGAAAAGGAAGGACATAGAGCAGACTCCACCAAGTGTCCTAAATACAGGCAGGCCCTCCAGGAAGCAAGGAAGGAAGCAAGGCAGAGGACAATCTTGAAAACAGGGGACAAAAAACAGTCTACAAAATAAAAGTACTGCAGTGCAACACAAACAGGAGCAGAGAAGCCTTGGACCTGCTCCTACAAAATGCGGCCGAAAGACATATCGACATAGTAATAGTATCGGAACCCAACAAGAAAACAGTGGAAAAGGGGGGCTGGCTTTGTGATAACCTCGCGAACGTGGCCATAAAATGCCTAAACAACAGGTTGACAGGCAAAAACGGGAGTGCAGCCAACGGGGTCGTCTCGATGCAAGTTGAGAACACCACCATATTTGGATGCTACATCTCACCGAACGTGGATAGGCTGGCTTTCGAGGGCTATCTGGACACGCTTAGAAGGACATACAGAACAAGAACGCAGGGCACGGAAGCCCTCGTTGGAGGCGATTTCAACGCCAAATCGGCGCTGTGGGGATCACCGGTGGAAGACTATAGGGGCATAGCACTCGCGGAGTGGTTCGCGGCGGAAGACCTCTATATCCTAAACCACGGCGAGGCCCCCACGTTTGTAAGAGGACGACAGCGCTCCTTTATAGACATTACGGCGTGCTCTGCAAGCATCAAGGACAGAGTAGAGCGGTGGGAGGTATGCGACGAGGAAACCTTAAGCGACCACAGGTATATTGAGTACCACATTCGGAGCAGCACAACTCCACAACACATTGCGCGGAGATTGGGATGGCAAATGAACCCAGATCGCCGGGAGGAATTCCTATGGAAAGTGGACCTAGGCCTTGCCAAGAGAGCCGCAAAATGCGCAACAAGCTGGGACGAGGCGATAAAGGAGGCAGCGGACAGCACCTTAAAAAAAAGGGGTACGGCAGGGGCTCAAAACCCCCTTCATACTGGTGGACACCCGAGGTGGCAGAACTCAGGAGGGAGTGTAACTTAAAAAGGAGGATTCTTACGAGGAGCAACAGAACGCCCGAAGACTCGACACTGACGGCACGGTCCAACTACAAAACCGCCAAAAACAGACTAAGAAAGGAGATTAGAAACTCAAAAAGGAGGGCATGGAAGCGCCTAATCGACCAGCTTGACGAAGACCTATGGGGAGACGGTTATAAGATAGTCGCAAAGAAGTTCCGGACCCTCCAGCCGGTAAGCCTGGGGGATGAGGAATAGCTGAGGGTCGCAAAAAACCTCTTCCCAGAAGGGTTAAGGAGACCAAACACACCTACACACATGGCGCAGATGAACTTCAACTGCTTTAGCAAGGAGGAACTTGTGGCCGCAGCCACAAAGCTGAAGACAGGGCGAGCCCCGGGAGTGGACGGGGTCCCGGTCGAGATAGTCAAACTGGTAGCAAAGGAGCTCAGCGTACCCCTCCTGGACCTGCTAAATTCCCTGGGGGCCAAGGGAACCTTCCCAGATCCATGGAAGGTCGCCAGACTG